ACGTGGGATCGGTAACATGTGGCATTAAAATACTGAACTGGTGAGAATTGATTAGAAGAGTGAGGAACAGTCCAAAATAGAGCTTTTAAAGCAATTTTTATTAAAACAAACGTCAATAAACCCAGAGTGCTGTGATACCTAGTGCCACACTGGAAGAATCAAACTGGACGGCACCAAAGAAAAGAACATATCAAAACCAAACCACGCTTATCTACTCTGAAACCAAAAGTATTTAGCTAATCTAAAAAAAAGGAAACCTAAGCTAACTACTCTAAACTTTCCTTCCCAGTAACCAAAAGTACATGTGGCGGTGCCCACCCTCTGACCTAGGGAGCTAGACAGAGTAGACATCTACGTGGTGCAAATATATACGCGTGCCCCTCTTACCTGTTTGAAACCCCAGGTGGTACAAACAATCTCTTGTAAAACAAAGTTAAAAGCATGCAGGTAAAATAACACAGCTGAAGTACTTCCTCTAACATAAAAGACCGTCTTTCAAACTAAGTTAAAAGAAGCACTGGTAAAATACCTAAAACAAAGCACACCCCAACACAAGAGATTAAAACACAACTAAAACAGCACATGTAATCAGTCATCTCTCTCTTTGGCCATCTTGAAGGCCTCTTTTAAAACATAGGCTCCTCCCCCAACTGCACCAGCCAGGCCTCTGATTGGTTCCAGAGAAGGTACCTCTATGAAGGAAGAGACCAAGAGAGAGGGAAAGAGACAAAAAAACAGAATACGTGCTTACACATAACAAACAGGAATAGCCCTTTCCTGGTTCAGGTCCTACCTCAATGATCGGTATCAGTTTGTTAATATAAACAGTGAATCATCTGCTCTCGCAAAAGTAAAGTATGGTGTTCCACAAGGCTCTGTTTTAGGACCTGTACTATTCACATTATATATGCTACCACTGGGCACCATTATCAGTAAACATGGCATAAATTTCCACTGCTATGCCGATGACACTAAGTTACACTTAGCAAGCAAACCGGATGATAAAATTAAACTTAGCAAGATTGAAGACTGTATAAAAGACGTAAAAGACTGGATGTCGAGTAATTTCTCCTTCTCAACTCCGATTAAAAAAGAGGTTCTGCTTCTTGGTCCAAAAGCGGCTAGAAATAGACTGTCTAATTTAACACTTAAACTTCTGCATCAAGCTCATCTGTAAGCCTTGGTGTCATTATAGACCCTGATCTGTCCTTTGACGCACATATAACTAATATTACTAGAACAGCCTTCCTGCATCTCCGCAATATTGCTAAATTGAGAAATGTACTATCTCTACAGGATGCAGAAAAGTTAGTTCATGCATTTATCTAACTCTCTCATGCATTGATTACTGTAATGCCCTGCTGTCTGGATGTCCCAGCAAAAGCCTTAACAAGCTTCAGCTAGTCCAGAATTCTGCAGCCAGAGTTCTTACTAGAACCCGAAAGTTTGACCATATCAGCCCAGTTTTATCAACCTTACACTGGTTACCAGTTAAGTTTTGCATTGATTATAAAATTCTCTTACTGACTTACAAAGCTCTAAACGGACTCGCCCCTCAGTACCTGAGTGAGCTTCTCTCTCACTATGAACCATCACACCTACTTAGATCACAAGGTACTGGCTTACTATTAGTACCTAGAATGAATAAAGTTACGTCAGGAGGGAGAGCTTTCTCATACAAAGCCCCCCAGCTTTGGAATAATCTTCCTGTTAATGTTCGGGACTCAGACACAGCCTCAGTCTTTAAGTCTAGGCTAAAAACTTACTTGTATAGTCAAGCCTTTGGTAATTAGTTTTCCCCGTCAGTTCTATACCTGCCAGAGTCTCTACTGCTCTGCTAACACTGTAATCTGTGATCAGTCAGCCATTACAGAACTGACTCTCGGTGTGTTTTTCCTTTCTTTCTTTCCTTTGCTGAGTTGAACAGCTGCCCATCCTGTGCGTCTGATGCTGCTGCCTCTCTGCCTTGATCGGGTGCCACTGCTCGCCAGCCCTCTGGACCGGCTTGACCACCATCAAGCTTCGTGCTGTACTACGCCGTGCAAACCTCACCCTCACAATCCCGACCCCACTGATGCCGCTGTTGAATAAACTAAACAAATCAAATTAATCATTTGAACTAATCAATCATTTAAACTAATTAAATTAATCAATCACCCATTACAGAACTGACTCTCTGTGTGTTTTTTCCTTTCTTTCTTTTCTGGGGAGGACTGTATAAAAGACATAAAAGACTGGGTGTCGAGTAACTTTCTCCTACTTAACTCGGATAAAACAGAGGTTCTGCTACTTGGTCCAAAAGCGTCTAGAAACACACTGTCTAATTTAACACAAACTGAATTTCTCAGTTGCATCAAGCTCATCTGTAAAAACCTTGGTGTCATGATAGACTCTGATCTGTCCTTACACAATCATTTAAACTATCAATCAAACCTCACCCTCACAACCTGACCCCACTGATGCTGCTGCATGAACTAATCAAATTAATCATTTGCTCCACCTGTTTTCCCCGTTTTTTGTACTATAATACTTTATACTAACAATATTTACTATCCGGTGTCGACCAGAGGAGGATGGGTTCCCCTTCTGAGTCTTGGTTCCTCTCAAGGTTTCTTCCTGTTTCTCTCTAGGGAGTTTTTCCTTGCCACTGTCACCACTGGCAAAGCTCATGGGGGCTTGGACCCGGATTTCTTTCTGTAATGCTGATTTCCTTGTAAAGCTGCTTTGTAACAGCAGCTATTGTAAAAAGCGCTATATAAATAAACTTTGCTTGCTTGCTTGATTTAGGTAAGGTGGCATTCTCAAGAAGGTCTATCGTGCAATCAAAGGGACAGTGAGGAGGTAGTTTTGTGGTGTTAACTTTACTAAAACTGTCCTGGAAATCAGAGTGCTCATCAGGTATTTTACAGACAATGTCAGTATGAGGGCTCTCAACTGAAGTCGATCAAACAGCAATAGCAGGGTAAGTAATGCAATTAAGATGGCAACACTCAGACCATGTGGTTGTTTTACAGGTAGCCCAAGAGATTAAGTGAATGCACACACACAAGGGGGCAGCAAGCACACTTGCCCGGAGCAGTGGGCAGCCCTATCGGCAGTGCCCAGCGAGCAGTTAGGGGTTGCTCAAGGGCACTTCAGTCATGTATTGTTGGCTCAGGGGATCAAACCAGTGACCTTCCAGTCACAGGGCTGGTTCCCTAACCTCCAGCCCATGACTGTTCTAATGAGATATGTGGATTATGTAGTTATGTAGTTTAGGAGCCCTAAAATTACAGAAAACTCTGAGTCTAAGACTAAAAAGAAACTCTGTTCACTATATAGAGCACTAAAAACAGTGTGGGAATATTAGCAGTAGCAGTGTACTCACTCTCATTAGATGTACTTAGGGCTTTCAGTTGGGCTGTTAGTTCTTTAACATTAGCAACCAAATGGAATAGTAGAGACTGCTTTTCAGCCTGCTGCTGTGTAAGCAACTCAAAAGATGGAGTAACATCCGCAAATGCCTGTTGATGCTGTCCAAGCAAGTTACCTTGATTGGCAATAGCCTTTTGGAAAGCCTCAATGTCTGCTGTCTGCATTGTAGGTGAGGTACTGACCCAGTCAGATGCTCATAGTAAAAAGTGAAAAATGAGACTTTGTTATAAAGGGGTCGACAAGACTCAATGTTGTGGCCCAGGCAAAGGTTGAATACAGAAAGGCCAAAAAACAAAGCAAGACAAACATCCAATCAGGCAACCAGATCCAAAGGACAAAAAGCAAAGTCAGAGTCCAAGGCAAGATCATAACAGACAAAGGGCAATTAAATACAATGCTCAGTATCTCTTAAAAGTAGAAACAATACCTCGCAAAGTGTCTAAGCTAAAAGCCAGGGTTTTATACTAACTCTGATAGATTGCAGGACAAGAGATACAGATGGAAGAGATTTTCAGGTGACTTCAAGCAATGACTTTAGTGCTGTGGAGTGTCATCAGTCACGTGATCTCCCTGAGGATTCTGGGAGATGGATTTCCTGGCTTTAGAGCTGGAAGGATGATTAACACTTAACAAAATTGGCTGGAATTATTTTATAGTGTAGTATTTTGTACAGTTTGAACTAACTTTTGAAAAATTCTGTGTTGAAAACAATGATGTTCAATATATCTTTATGAGGTATGTGTTTTTTTGTTTTCCTTTTTTAATTCACTTTGCTGAAAACATTCACAATTTAATGATTTGTGAATAATTATGTGACACATGGAACTGTTACTGACTCTGAAATGGATCTGGTGCAAATGTAATAAGTCAGGGCCAGACCTGTTCCAGAGACAGCTGCTAGTATCAACTTGAACTTGAACCTCTTCTGAACAGGGCCCAATCCACATTTGGCTAGAGCAGTTCCATTATTGGGCCATTGTGCAAAAAGGCACCAGGCCAGCTCTGCTTTGCGGATCCAGACTGGATGCAGTGCCACATTTGGCCATAATCAATGCAGTGTACATTTTTTGTCTGGGTAACTAAATCTTAGTTAGGCTTTTGACAGTTTCTAATTGGGATCAACATAATCATGACAACTCACAGAAAACCCTTTCAATAATTGATATTTAACCAAAAATGACTCAATGATTCAGCTACCGCATGGCACTGTGGACACATGACAGAAGCAGTGTCTTTTATAAAAATCCATTTCTCTGATTCAGAGTGTAGCATGGGGATGGTCATAACGAGTTCTTGCCTTTAGGTGTACTTCTGAATTAATAATAATTTAAGAAGGTAGCTATTAAATGTTTGAGGTTTGAATCATATCATGGCTTACTTCACACAAAAGGGAAGAGATGTGGATTTCTTTGGGGGCTTCACAACTGTCTGGAATGTTTATGGAGTGAAGATTTGAAAAATGCCCTCCTATGAAGAGTCATAAAAGTCGATGCCTTTAATCCTCTGACAGCCTGTACGGAGACTCTCCATCACCTAGATCGGGTGCATAGACCGTGGTGGTTTAAAAAACAAACTTGTGCTTGGAATGTGACAGTAAAATGGACCAATTATTTACTAAACAGCAGTTTTTAAAAGATGAATAGATTATGAAATTTCATAGGATTTTTCAAGTTTACAAGAATATAAAAATAATAGAGAACAAGAACAATAATACAGAACAATAATCTCAACAGGTCCAACATGTTCACAAAAACACAAAATATCCTCACATGGAAAGGTGATTAATTAAACAAAAGAATGAATCAGCGGGCAGAGAGAGAGAGAAAGTGAGAGAAAGAGAGTGGGAGAGAGAGAGAGAAGGATGAAGAGCCAAACACACTGTCAAATGTTTGTCAAAATATCCACCATTACATCAGAAACATTGTACTAGCTTAGATCTGCTAAATTAGCAAATAAAGAGTCTTATATTACTGCATGCGAAGCCTTTTGATTTTTATATACATATAATACAAATAAAACTTATTTTGGCAGAATCTGAAGTACCACAAGTCATTGTGTGTATGAGCTTGACTTGTTGTTCAGAACAGAAAATTACATTTCATTTAGTGGCTATGGTATACAAAAAATGTAAAGCAACAAGAAGTGGTTTTCTTCTAAAAATCTGACCTAGAATTACAGTTTCCTGCAGACTTTTACTCCACAAATGTGTTAAGGTTACACTTACTACTCCTGGTTTCCACCACAGCTTTTAGTGCACTTATGTGTCTTTACAGTCTTTGAAAACATGAAATTCTGTCCACACTCTAAGCAGTGATATGGTTTCTCTCCTGTGTGAATACGCTGGTGTGTTCTGAGATGACTCAGAGTAGTAAAACTCTGTCCACACACTGAGCAGTGATATGGCTTCACTCCTGTGTGAACATGCTGGTGCTGTTGGAGTTTACTCTTTTGAGTAAAACTCTTCCCACACTCTGAGCAGTGATACGGTTTCTCTCCTGTGTGGATGCGCTGGTGGTTTTGGAGATTATGCTGTTCAGTAAAACTCTTCCCACACTCTGAGCAGTGATACGGTTTCTCTCCTGTGTGAATGCGCTGGTGTATTTTGAGTTTACTCTGTTCAGTAAAACTCTTCCCACACTCTGAGCAGTGATACGGTTTCTCTCCTGTGTGGATGCGCTGGTGTATTTTGAAATTGCTCTGTGTAATAAAACTCTTCCAACACACTGAGCAGTGATACGGTTTCTCTCCTGTGTGGATGCGCTGGTGTGTTTGGAGATTACTCTTTCGAGTAAAGCTCTTCCCACACTCTGAGCAATGATACGGTTTTGTTCCTGTGTGAATGTGCTGGTGTGTTTTGAGTTTATGCTGTACAGTAAAACTCTGTTCACACTCTGAGCAGTGAAACGGTTTCTCTCCTGTGTGAATGCGTTGGTGTGCTTTGAGAGCTTTCTGTGTAATAAAACTCTTTCCACATTCTGAGCAGTAATATGGTTTCTCTCCTGTGTGGATGCGCTGGTGGTTTTGGAGATTATTCTTTTGAGTAAAACTCTTCCCACACTCTGAGCAGTGATACGGCTTCTCTCCTGTGTGGATGCGCTGGTGTGTTTTAAGATTACTTGGTGCAGTAAAACTCTTTCCACATTCCAAGCAGTAGTGATTTCTCTCTTTGCTGTGTTTCTGTGTTTGTCTGTGAGATGCATTCATGTGGAGGGTACCAGATGATGCGTGCAAAGTACCAGAACATCTTCTGGATGCCATATTCTTATATAATCACCTGTTTCAGCAGCTTAACTTTCCTCTTTGTGGAATGTCCTGTGGTGTCTAAGGAGGCACATTTAAGCTGCATAGGAAAGATAAGGAGAAGACTTAAAACAGAACATCGTTCATTTCTGAAAAAAAAAGAGAATAATAAACTCAATTTGCAATGCAACAAAACTAGTCTAATCCAAATCAAGAGTTATATCTACTGGCAGAAAGTGTAAAGAAAGAATAATCTTCAATCTGATGAGGAAAAGCCAATAATTGAATTACTCAAACTCCTTAAATATACAAAGACTACTGAAGTCATGTCACCATGCCATGTGTCATGTCACTATGCAGATATATACTGGATTCTCTGCTTTACAAGGTCATTAGCTGAGATAAAAGTTTTGCTATATGTTTATTTTTTGCTAAAATCTCAGAGCTTATTTTCTTATTAGGACTTAATCCAAGTCATGTATAGACAATTTCAGAGAATAATAAACTGTGGTCCTTCAAATCTCTTAGGGAGTTTACACTTCACAGCCATTTGAAATTATGGGTTACTGACTCTTACAAAACAGTACAAAAATATAAAATTTATCTGAACACTTGGCTGGCATGGCAACAGTGATGCACTGGCCTACTGTGCAGTGTTGTTGCATAAATATCACCTACATTGAAAGATTATCAGATGGTGATGTCAAACAACTCTTAGATAACCCAGAACCATTTTGGAATCAAGTGCTGTTGTCTAATAAAACAAAAACTGAACACTTTGGCTACAATCAACATTGACTGAGAGGGTGCCCGAACTTTTGCAAACACCACAATTTCAGTTTTTTCAACCTGATATACAAACAACCTGATATTCAAAAAAGTACAAAGAAATTATTTTTAATGCTTTAGCTGACCAACTGGATTATGTTTTGTAATCAGAAACAAATGTTGGATTTGATTCATGCAACACACTCAAAAAAAAGCTGGGACACAAAAAAGTATTGTAATTTATATTTTCAAAGTACAGTTGGTCAACGTTAATCAGTAAAAACATTGGCAATCTTTTCTTTGTACTATTGGTTTGTACTTTTTTTTGTACTATAGCGCCCTGCACAATTGTAAGCAGGCTGCAGACAAAGCACCCACAGGCCCTCATTCTGATCTCTGGGGACTTTAACCATGCTTCTCCATCCTCCACTCTGATGAACTTCACATAGTATGTAACCTGTCACACCAGACAATAAAATACTGGATATGTTTTATGCCAACACCAAGGAAGATCAGATCATCAGAGGGATCTGGAAAAGCCTTAAAACAATCTCTGGGCACAAGAAACCCAGTCCCCAGGTTGTAGGGGACCAAAAGTTGGTGAACAATCTCAATCTGTTTTTCAGTAGATTTGATCACTCACCTCTCCCTACACAGATACCCCTGCTGCAACCCCCTCTTATGGACACCCAGTGTACTGCCCTGCCCCCTCTCCTACATTCACCCTACTCTTCACAACTCTCAGCTCACAGCCAGCCCCACTGGTTTCCCTGCTATCAGCTCACCCCGCACAGTCCAGCACCCAGCCCCCCTGCCCCAAACTGCAGTTTACAACAGCCCAGATGAGAAAGAAGCTCAGAAAGATCAAAGTGAGGAAAGCTGCTGGTCCCGATGGCATCAGCTCCAGGCTCCTAAAGTCCTGCACAGATCAGTTGTGTGGAATATTTGAACACAGGTTCAAAATGAGCCTGTAGCTCAGGAGGATCCCACAACTGTGGAAAACATTTTGTGCAGTACCAGTGCCAAAGACGCAGCAACTTAAGTTCAAAATGATCTGAAATGCTAAGCAGAATGCCCTGCCTGCAGTGTGTTCAGTCTGAGGTCAGTGTGCAGTATTAAAGTTGGACAGTTGTGCAGCTCAGTGTGAGTGAGGGAGACGGGGCTCATCTCAGTCCATCTCCAAATTGTGGAGTACTGCATGAGCATCAATGATGGCGACCCCAGGTTGTAGGGGACCAAAAGTTGGCGAACAATCTCAATGTGTTTTTCAGTAGATTTGACCATTTACCCCCCCACACAGTTACTCCTGCTGCAACCCCCTCTTATAGACACCCAGTGTACTGCCCTGCCCCTTCTTCTACATTTACCCCACTCTTCACAACTCTCACCTGACAGCCACCCCCATTGTTTTCCCTGCTGTCAGCTCAACCCCCCTACCCGCACACTCCAGCACCCAGCCCCCCTGCTCCAATCTGTGACTTACAACAGCCCAGGTGAGAAAGAAGCTCAGAAAGATCAAAGTGAGGAAAGCTGCGGACAAAAATGATGATCTCAACCTGTTTTGGCATCTGGCATCAGCTCCAGGCTCCTAAAGTCCTGCACAGATCAGCTGTGTGCAATAGTTGAACACAGGTTCAAACTGTTGAGAACTGCATGAGCATCAATGATCCAGCACCCAGCCCCCCTGCTCCAATCTTCGCCTTACAACAGCCAAGGTGAGAAAGAAGCTCAGAAAGATCAAACTGAGGAAAGCTGCGGATCAAAAGTGGGTGAATGATCTCAATCTGTTATGGCATCTGGCATCAGCTCCAGGCTCCTAAAGTCCTGCACAGATCAGCTGTGTGCAATAGTTGAACACAGGTTCAACATAAGCCTGAAGCTCAAGAGGGTTCCACAACTGTGGAAAACATTTTGTGTGGTGCCAGTGCCAAAGACGCAGCAACTGAAGGATCTCAGCAGCTACAGACCAGCAACACTGGCGTCGCACCCGATGAAGACGCTAGAGAGGCTGGTCCTTGTGTATCTCCGCCCTCTGGTTAGCTCATCTATGGACCCACTTCAGTTTGCCTATCAACTTGGCATTGGAGTGAGTCATCTGCTTCCTACACAGAGCTCTTCCTCACCTGGAGAAGCCTGGGAGCACTGTGAGAATCATGTTCATTGGTTTTAACACCTTACATCCTAGGCTCCTGAGGGACAAGCTGGAGAACACAGAAGTGGATCACCAAATTGGTTATCAAAGTGGATTATCAAAATGGATTCTGGACTGCCTTACCATTATGTGACGGCATGGGACTGTGTGTCTGACATGGTGGTCAGTAGCACAGGGGCCCCGCAGGGAATGGTTCTGGCCCTGTTCCTCTTCACCCTGTACACTGCAGACTTCATGAATAGCTCACCAAACGGCCATCTACAGTTCTTTGATGACTCAGCAATCATCGGACTCATTACAGATGAGGAGGACAGAGAGTACAGAGAACTGACCCAGGACTCTGTGGAGTGGTGTCTGAGGAACCACCTCCTGATCAACGCAGGAAGACCAAAGAGATGGTGGTTGATTTTCGCAGATACAGTCACCTCCCTCCACCAGTGAACATCCAGGGAATAGATATTAAGAGAGAGGACCCTTATAAGTATCTGGATTTTCACCTCAACAATAGACTGGACTGGTCAGAAAACACTAGTGCACTTTATAGGAAAGGCCAGAGCAGACTCTACCTGCTCAGGAGACTGAGATCGTTTGGAGTGCAGGGGGAACTCTTGAGGACCTTCTTCGACACCTTTTGTGGCATCAGCCATCTTTTATGGAATGGTCTGCTGACAGGAAGAGATTTGGCAGACTCATTAAGAATGCCTGCTCTGTTTGGGAAGCGTAACATACATCAGTGACAGACTAATTGTGAAGATATAACCATTCCTTGTAATTAACTTCTACAAAGCGCTGATGTGGCTGTGTTTTCATCCTAACAATGCAGGAGCTCACATCATCAGTTGTTTAAAGACCCAGACCACATAATTAAAGAAGTCAGATACACCTGCAGGATTAGAATGAAAACCAGGAGCCACAGTGGCACTTTGTAAATCAGACTGGACACTGTTGTTTCAGAGAAATTACACTCTTCAGACATCTGGTTCCTATCATTGCCAATGTCAGCAATTCTGACTCTAAATTTCTCTAGAACAGAGCATTTCACAACAAACCAAACTGAATGACTCTGTTTACATCTTAACCGTTCAATAATGCAGAAATAAAAAAAAAAAATTGGGGCAATTCCCCTTTAAGTATTGCTACAGTGAGACAGATGGGGATGCCAACTTCCCCATGACCTCCAACAAGAAAGGATGGATATGAGGACAAAACCAGAAGGTGTGACAGTAACTGTCAATGTGTCAACGTGTCACTGCATATGTTTTGCCAGTTCAGCTCAGATGATTGTTCTATATCTGCAGTCCATTTTTCAACTGGAAATGATCTTATGCTGTGTTTAGACACTATAAGTTTATATATTTGTGATAATACTTTCTGAGGTTTAAAACTGTGTAGTTCTGAGCAGAGGAAAGGAGTGGGATTGTGAAAGTACCTAATTTTATATATACTAAAAGTAACAGTGATCTGGAAAGATGCATTTTTGATGATGTTGAAGGTTATGAACAAGCCGTTAGTGATAACTGTCCCAGGCTGGATGCTAAAGCTGAAGATATGAAGGGTTTATTGTTGACTGCAATTATGGAGTTGTTCCATAAACAACTGAGCTCAGAAGGAAAAAACTATAACTGAGGATTTCATTACATTTTCAGCAGTTAAAGTGGAACTCTGGGAGAAAGTGACAGTGAGGCAGAGGCATAAACAGGACAGAGACAGAAAGACAACAACAAACTCAGGTGCTACAGAGGAAGAACATCAAAGCAGATGCACAAGTATTTAGACAATGATTTTTTTGTAATTTTGTCTCTGTACACCACCACAATGAGACTGAAATGGAGCAGTCAAGATGTGACTGAAGTTCAGACTTCCAGCTTAAATTCAAGGAGTTTTGCAAAAATACTGAAAAAATATTACACAGTCCCTCCATTTTCATTCCTCAGTTGAAAAATGATTTGCATAAAAATAAACAAAAAATAATTGTTTTTATAATGTTAGTTTGTCCAATCACATTTTGAGTCTGTGAAAATGAAGGAACTATGTAAAAATGGCTGTAATTCTGTAATGGCTCTATTTTTTAAAGGTTAAAGCAATAATTTTGTTAAAGTACTTGAATTAAAGATAAAAGTCTAAACTTCAATCAAATCATGACTGCTTCATTTCAAATCCATTGTGATGGGTGTACAGAGGCAAAATTACAAACCTTGTCATTGTCCAAATACTTACAAACTTGGCTAGATACATCAACAGTTTTAGGAACTTACCCTTTATTAAAGTGATGCCTAATTCTCTGCTGAAAATCAGTTTCTGTATCTGGAAAACTCTCTGAATCTGAGTCTGTGGAAAACAATCATAAATCACTTGTAAGTCCATATACAGCAGCATGCAAAAGTTTGGGTGCCCCTGGTCAAGATTTCTGTTACTGTGAAAAGCTAAGTGAGTAAAAGATGATCTGATTTCCAAAAGCCAAAGTTAAAACATGACAATTCTTTAATATTTTAGGTAATATTACATTTTTGTCTCCATAAATTACAGCTTCAAAGTAACAAAAAAAGGCTAAGTGCCTAAAGCAAATGTTTAGCCACCCTGCATGGTCAGAACTTAGTAGCACCTCCTTTGGCAAGTATCATAGCTTGTAAATGCTTTTTGTAAAATCTAAGAGTCTTTTGATTCTTATTTGGGGGATTTTTACACATTCCTGCTTATTAAAGCCTCTTAGTTCTGTGAGATTACTTGGCAATCTAGCATAAACTGCTCTTTTGAGGTCCACCCCCAGATTGTGGATGATGTTTAGGTCATTGCAAAACCTTCAGCTAGTGCCTCTTGAGGTAGTCCACTGTAGATTTTATGGTGTGTTTAGGATCATTATCCTATTGTATAAGTCATCCTCTTTACATCTACAGCTTTTTTACAGACGGTGTGGTGTATGTGGTGTTTGATGTGTTGACCAGTGGTGCCCTAGCTTGTCATTTAGCACAAAATAGGGGTACATGACATCATTTCAGCATCATCATCACAAGTGGCACATACACAATAGACAGGCCACAGGATGTGCAGTGTCAAGTACAGCAAATTAAATCAAACACATCTTGCGACATTTGTTTTTGCTTGATACAAAAGGAAAACTTACACAGCTCTCATATTTCATAATGAATCTACAAGAAAAGGTGAAGCAAAACTAAAGTGTGATACACTGGATTTAATAAATGAAAGACACTAACATACTGACATTAACATATGACCATGAGGCACATATTAAGGCACTACTTATTTCTGCTTATTGACGAATCATACTTAGACATCTCCGTATCACAATGAATCAAATTTTACATGTTGTGTATCTTTACATGCCTAGTAAAGAATTACAGAGAGTTACTAATGTTAAATTTAATGACTGTACAAACTGATCTTGGTCAGTTTGATAAAGTCAGCATAAGTAATCACAGTCAGGAGATGATGTAATAATTGTGAGAGGTCTGGTCTAGACAAGAATTCTCTGACCACTAAAAGACATTCCTACATAAAACACCCCTTTATATTGTTCCAGAAATAACTACTATTTTTTCTTCACATTTGTACATATAATGGACTATTTGATGTTTGATGATGAACATGACAGACTTTGTTTATATTTAGCTACACTAGCTAGAATCCATTACTAACAGTGGCTATTATCCCAAACTTTTATCCGGCTAACATAAAGCAGCTGTCTGAATAACATTTACCAGAGATTTTTGTACTCATGTCTTTAAAAGGCTGATACTACAGAAAATAAACCACTATCAATGTAATTTCTCTGACATCGGCTCAGTATAAACAGCTAACATTAGTGTAAAATCTTTTTATGTTTAAGTTCACCTCATTAATAAAAGGTCACAAAATACAGAGAATTTCATATAATTTACAATTTACTGAAAGAACATCTCAAAGTCAATGTATATAATTCATGTCATTATAAAACACCATGAATCTGTAATGTAGAGAATCAGATTCAACCGCATTACATCCAGAACACATTACTAGTCTGGCTGAGTCATTTGCTACAGTATAAACACCAATTTTAAGATTATACTAAGCAGTGACATTATAATCCATATCTGACAAATAAATACAAAAAAGAATAATCACTCAATCACATGATCAACTGCTGCAGCCAGTGTATAAACCCACTTGAAGCTTTGTGTATTCTTATAAAAACATCTCCATATTATACACAGAAAGGGAAAAGCCACATCTGCGGCTCCTCAGACATGCAGCCCATTTACAAACCACCATCTGAGACACCCAAACACACAAATTAAGATATTTACATTAACTATCTGAATATTTCAGACGGTAGACATTAATAAACACAGCGTGAAGACACACATAAGTTCCCTAAAACCCGGTCACAGCAGCTCCTCCTCTAAATCACTGCAGGATGAGCAGCGTTTCCATCAATGAGGCTCTAACAGACATTTAAAGACCCTCATCAGTCAGTTACACCGACATATAAGGACTGAAACCAGCTTAAAGCAGCACTTACAGCTCTTTAATCTCAGACTGAATCTCCGTTTCAGAGTCTCCCCCAAACACAACACGCTGTGTAAAGACAGCAACAGTAGCGAGCGGAGTCCGACCACAACCGGGAGGGTGTTTTTCAAAATAAAAGTTTCTAGCGCTCAATACGTTTTGGTTAATATTAATGAATATGCATATTAATAATTCAATGTCACACCCTATTTACTTATGTTTTTATATCAGATTATATACTTTCTAAATGTTAAATTAACATCTGATACATGGTGTTTAATGTCTTACAGTTTACTACTAAATAAGCAAAAAAAATAAAATGGCAAAATATGGAGATTATTAACCAAACAATAAACAATCAAATTATCAATAAAATAATTAGAATAAAAAATTACGAAAATTTTATATAGTTAACTTATAGTTTAACTATATTTAATTATATATTTTTTAATGTATTAAAACAAACATTTAAACAATCAAAGATCATTTTCTTCAATACATATAATTTAGAGTTTAAAAAAAGACAAAAATACTAATAGTTCACCTTGTAAAACAGCAGTTTAAAATCAAAGGGAAAGATGTGAAATTTCACATCCGTACAATAAAGTAAATAAGCACTTTAATGTTCATAATATTACTGACACAAAATTAACAGCAGCGAGCTTCTGATTTGAGTGAATCTGAGCTGATGGTGGTGAAGAGCTGAGCTACAGCTGTGTTTTTCACAACCTTTGAAAAGACAGACTTCTGCTTGTGGTGGGTGGGATGTTAGTATTAAGATATAACCACCCAACATGACTGAGGTAGGACAGTGCCCACCATGATTAAACTGACTCAGTTTCCTGAGTCATGTGGGGCTGAGAGCACTTTGTTTTGGATTTAAGGTGATGGTGGACATTTCTTAAGAAAACTTTTTTATAAACTGACTATTATCCATCAAATAATGACATCAAATCTGCATTCATTGTCTGACATCATTAGAATGACATCATTTAATATTTTACCTGCTTAATTTGAATGACTGACAGATGGTCCAAGTTGTGATGTCTGGTCCTTTACGTCTGATCTGCTTTTGAAGTGCTTTATTTGGTGAGGCAGATTTTCTCGCTTGTGTCTTTAAATAAGTAGAGTCAAGTCAAGTCAAAATTATTTGTATAGCGCTTTTTACAACTGATGTTGTCACAAAGCAGCTTCACAGAAATCCATTAAGGACAAAGTTTTAACATGAAATGTAAATCCTCCAGGTGAGCAAGCCAGGGGCGACAGTGGCAAGGAAAAACTCCCTCAGAGCTGGGGAAGAAACCTTGGGAGGAACCAAGGCTCACAAGGGGGACCCATCCTCCTCTGGTCAAACTACCTACAAAATTATTATACTACTAATATTAATAGTAGTAGTAGTAGTAATAGGAGTCCACTTCAGTGTAGGGTGGGCAGCTAGTTCAAGGCAGGTGGCGGTAGCTGGGCAAATGGCGGTGACTGGGGCGTGGGCAACTGGTCTGAAGCGGTCAGCAGGAGAGCTCGACAGACAATCATCCATCAGTGTCCGGCCGGACAGGTGGGCAGTCTTTTACTCGGAAAAAAGGTAGGGAGATGGAGTTAGTTTAGTTCTGTATGGGTGTATGTATAGTAATATGTAAAACATTTCCAGAGTGTGGCTAACGACTCCGGCAGATCTGACTATAACAGCTTAACTAAAAGGAGAGAACCAAAAGGGTACACAGATACGGGAGCACCCTGAAACAATTTGGCATCCCTCCGCTCCACCGTCCACAAACCTGAGTGATCGCGTGCGAGTGGCGGGACGACAGCACCAGCGTCTCAGTTTACTATAATTCCCTGCTGCCTTTATCTAAGGGGAAACATCAACTACCAAAAGCTAAACTAAACAAGCGAGTTTTCAGCCTAGATTTGAAGATTGCGACTGAGTCTGAGTCCCGAACATTTTCTGGAAGATCTTTCCATAGTTTGGGGGCTTTATAAGAAAAGGCTCTTCCCCAGATGAAACCTTCTGAATTCTGGGAACTATTAAAAAGCCAGCACTCTGTGATCTGAGTAATCGTGGTGGCTCGTAATGGGAAATAAGGTCTTGTAGGTACTCAGGAGCGAGCCCATGTAGGGCTTTATACGTCAATAAAAGACTTTTGTAATCAATATGGAATTCAACAGGCAACCAATGGAGTGATGATAGAACTGGACTGATATGATACAATTTTCTAGTTTTAGTGAGAACCCTGGCTGCAGCATTTTGAACTAGTTGAAGTTTACTTAAATTCCTGCTGGTGCATCCTGACAGTAGTGCGTTACAATAGTCTAGCCTTGAAGTAATAAAGGCATGTACTAATGTTTCTGCATCATGCAGCAATAAGGCATTTCTTATTCTGGCGATATTGAGAAGATGTTAAAATGCTGTCCTAGTGATACTGCTTATGTGTTGATCGAATGATAAATCTGGATCAACCAAGATTTTTTGCTGCTGAGGAATTTAGACATTAAATATTCTGCTTCTGTCCAGTCAGAGAGACAGGGAAAAGACAAATGGGTCATTCTATGGAAACGTCCACTTTTGGACTGGCAAGATGTCTTAAAATGTATTTTTTTTTACATTTAAACCTAGACTATGTTATTCCATAACTTATTAGCTGTACAAATACACATGAATGACAGCTTAATGATTTTTTACTTTTTTGTGCATTTATTTAAAGATTGTACCATTTTTTTGGTCACTGGTGTTACCTTACTCTTTTGACAATATTAAAGGCTTTTATGAAATATTATTTGCCATCTCTTATATCTCTTCGGCACATGTAGTCAGAGTAACCGAAGTATAATTATAATGCAACAAACCAGGAAATTATTCTTTCATTTATTTTATTTATGTCTGCTAAAAGTTTGCTAGGTCGGTTTATTTTCACTTGCACAACCATGTATTCGCTATAACAGGGAAAATAGTTGAAAAAACAGTTATAAACAAGTAATGAAGAAATTCAACATGACAGAAAAACACACAGTAACACCAGTGACACAAAGAAACACCAGGGACATACATAAGACTAAAGATCTCCCAAATCTAATTAAGAAAGTGAGACTAAATTGTTACATTTGGCATAAAATCAAAGGTTATCACTGATACGTAATGAAAGCACTAAGTAAAAGACATAAATCATAAACAATAGTTTAAAAATAAATAACATTATTAGAAAACAACTACACTTGTCCAACAAAGTACATTGTCTAAACTGCACTTCTCCACTACTATTTTATGCCATGCTATGTTACAATGTTATGATTAAGAAGAGTAAAGTGCAATGGTCCCCATTTTTCATTTTATGGTTAGATCAATATCTAACCGTCCTTTTTAAAAGTCAAATCTTAGCAAAAAATGTTTTCAGAGAATTAAATGTTTATCTAATATCGAACAAGTTATATATGGAATTTCAATCAGGTATTTTTCTAACCATAGTACTGAGACAGCATTGGTTCATGTTGTGAATGACCTTAGGCTCAGCGCTGATGCACAAAATCCTTCTATTCTGGTCTTTTTGGATCTTAGTGCAGCTTTTGATACTGTTGACCACAAGATTCTAATACACTATTTTGAATAATGGGTCAACTCTCAGGTACAGTTTTAGAATGATTTAAATCAGATTTAGGTAATAAACAATTCATGGTTTCAATGGGAAATCATTCATCAAACATGTAACATTTCTTGTCTCAAGGTTCAGTTTTATGGCCTATGCTTTTCTCTTTGTACGTTACCTCTTGATGTGGTCATTAAGAAACAAAATATTAATTTTCAAAACTTTGCTGATGACACCCAGTTATACATTTCTATTCCTTCTGATGATCAAGACTCTTGATTTTTGGTACTAAAACTTAAAACTTCGTTCTTTAGCTTTATATATGAAACCTGAAGTATGAAACTTGGGTGTGATCTTAGACTTTAAGCTCTGTTTTATCTGCATAAAAGTTGATGCACAGTTGATCACTGTCATGCTTTTTTTACTGGACTGCCTAAGAAAACAATACATCCCTTACAACTTGTACAAAATGTGGCAGCATGGATCCTAACAAAAACTAAAACATACAGATCGTATCATATCTTATGTTCAGCTCTCTTCAAACTTTCACCTAAATCATTTATTCCCTTCCTCTTTTTTGTCAATGTCTCTGGCATAGCCCTGTTTCTTTCTGTAAGTATTCTGCTCTGTGTTCAGGATCAGCATCTCTACTGTGTTTGTAAAGTTGCTGCTTCTCAGCTTCATTTAATTTAGCCATTGCTGTCCAAAAAAGGATTAACATTGATAAAGAAAAGATATAATCATGAAATCTGTGTGGTGTTTCATGCAAATTAACTCAATGAGCAGCTTTGATAACATTTATCTATGCACAGGAGTCACTGGTGTTACACATAAGAAAGGTAACAGTGACAGTAACACCAGTGACATTTTTAATGAAAAATTAATTTAACAAAATGGCTGTTACAGTGTATCAAACCATATGTTGTCAATCATGGAACATCCACTAAAATGTGTAATTTAATCCATTTGAATTCTTTTTTTTCACAATTACCTAAGAATAAAGTCAGTAACACCAGTGACATTAACTAAAAGCTTCATATAAAATCATAAGCTAAATGAGAAAATTTCTGCTAAATAAAAGACACACTAGACTTACCATGTGCTTTTATTCATATAGCTTTAGAAAATAGATGAAAGGAAGTCAAGTGATGTCATCAGTGTGATTTTTATTTTAAAATAAGAGATTTTGTTATGCGGTTACATGACTCCTGGGGACAACAGCTTTCATTATATGTTTTAGAATATTTATTTAGCATGTTTTCTTTCTTTTACAGTGCAGAGATGAACAGACCTGTATCGTCATAAGCAGTAGAGGAAATGTTGCCCATTTCCACAGCAGAATCTCAGTCTCTCAGTAACAGACTCGGCTAAATACAGATAACAGGTTCTGTCCTCAGGGTTTCTCTGTGAAGCTGTTTGGGCTGGTTTTCTCCAGCTCTGCTGTCGACTTTGTGGAGCTTTATTAAAGAGCGTAGAGGAAAGAATTCATGCTCATCCTCCTGATTAGGATGGGGGTCTGTGCTGAGAGG